TCCCAACAACCACACGGTGACTCACAACTATATGTAACCAGAACTAGTGCAAGCAGTAATACATGTAGGCAGTACATTGTATGTACAATAAAACTTTAAAAAATCAGTTCTGCTAGGTAGTTGTGGTACACAACATTTAATCCCAGCACTCTGGAGACAGAAGCAGATATATTTGAGTTCAAAGTCAGCTTGTTATGCAGAGTGAGTTCCAGGCCAGCCAGTACTACACAGATTATCCCTGTCTCAAAAATTCAGTTCCTTTAACACAGCCAGTCTCCTTTAAAATCCAAAATCTCTCAAATGTAGCCTCCTAAATACTAAATGAGGAGAAATACTTGCTTACTTTAAGAGGAAAGAACCAGGGCCCCATCTCTCTCTCTCTCTGAATAATACAAATCCATTCTCCAACTGCATAAATAATTCAATCTCCAGTGTCTGGATCCACTCTTCTGGGCTCATCCAAAGTGCTTGGGTCAGTTTTCCAGTTCTATCCTGTACAGAACACACAGCTTATCTTCTAGGTTCTGCCTGGCTCCATTCTATAGTGGCTGCTCTTCTTGACAGTCATCCCATAGTACTGGAGTCAACCAAAATTCTTGGGTCTTCTGAAGCAAATGGGTTGCACATTCATGTAAGAGTCACATAGACTGTCTTCATGGTGTCAAGTCTCAACGGTATCTGTATGACACCTTCAATTCTGGACTTTCAACTACTACTGAGGCTGCACCTTCACCAGTGTCCTATCATCCCGGCAAATAATTCAGGCAATCCTCAGCTGTTTTCAATGACCCCTTCATGTTTTCAAAACTAGTACCACCTGGGTGACTCCCAGACTGCCATGTTTGGCTTCCAACGTGATGTACAACCTTGTCTGCCTCTGGAGCACAGATTCTCAGGAAATATTTCTCAGAAGATTTCACCACAGAAATGCTGGGCTCTTGTTCATAACCACTAACTTCTCAGATCAAGCTAACCAGCATCAAGTATCCCAGTAAAACTAAGGTTTCACATTAGTAGTTCTGGTATCTTGTTAATCACAGGTGATTATTCAGGCCAAGCTAATCACAACCACATAATCTTAATTAAAAACAACAAACAGCACCAATAGAGTCTTTAAACTTCCCTCTGAGGGGGGAGCGTGAGATCAGGGAGGGTAACCTGGATCGGAATGTAAAACAATAAATTAATAAATTTACAAAAACCTTCCCTTTGCAAGGCCACAAGCCAGGCCTCTTCCTTCTGCATTGCCTTCCACATTCTTATATTGCAAGATCCTATAAAACAGCTCACCAAGTATTAAAAACGCAAAGCTTTTCCTTGTACAAAGGTCCAAAGTCCTTGCACAATCCTTCCACAAAGTCCTTCCAGTAACATCCCACTCATGGTACCAACTTGTCTTAGTTAGAATTTCTATTGCTGCAATAAAAAACAACGTGATCAAAAACCAAGTTGGGGAGGAAAGAGTTTATTTTGCTCACACTTCCACATTTTAGCTCATGATTGAAGTAAGCCAGGACAGGAACTCAAACAGATCAGGGACCTGGAGGTAGAAGTTGAGGCGGAGGGCATGGAGAGGTGGTGCTTACTGGCTTGCTCAGATTGCTTTCTTATAGAACCCAGGAGCACCAGCCAAGGAGTTGTACCACCCACAATGGGCTGGACCCAACCAAGCAATCACTAATTAAGAAAATGTCCCATAGCTGGACCTTATGGAGGCGTTTTCTTTGGAGGGTGGTGTGAGGGTTCAGGCAGAGTTTCTTTATGTAGACTTGGAATTAGCTCTGTAGACCAGGCTGGACTCAAACTCAGAGGCATGCCTGCCAATGCCGCATGAGTGCTGGAATGAAAGGTATGTATCACTACTGGCCCACTTAGAGGCATTTTGTTATTTGAAGTCCCGTCCTCTCAGATGACTTTAGCTTGTGTCAATTGACATCTAGCAGAGGGCACTAGAGCTGAAAGAAGTGGACACATGCCCCATCCCAAACGCAGAAACTATTTCCAGTTGACAACCAGCTGCTAATGAAAACTTAGTATCCTGCAAAGAAGTGTTAGTGGGGAAACCAACTACTTTTAAGGGTAGATTGTATGTCCAACAGTAGTTGGTCAACAGAAAATGAACTCAGTGGCATCTTTGGATGTTTCTAGTCTCATAATATCATGTCTGGGTCTTTTCCTTGTTGTTTGCTTCTGGGTCATTTTTATTTTGTTTTATTTTTTCTTCTATCATTTTGCCACATGGGTTCTTTGAGTATATATTATGGCTTCCAGTTTAGTGTTTAGAAGGGATTCGAGAATGTGCAAGTAAGTGGGTCTCTGATTCATCTAACTTATGTTTTTTGTTTTGTTCAATTATAATGTGGCATTTTTGTTTAATCTTAGCATACATTATTCTAATATATTTCATTATATTATTATGCCATAGAAACCTGTTTGTTTTCTAGTCAGAGATAGAAAGGGCTTGGATTCAGATGGCAAGGAAGGTGGAGAGGAGCTTGGAGGATTAGAGGAACTGGTAAAAAAAATCACAGTATATTGTATGAGAGAAAAATATCAATAAAATAAAATCAGTGTCCCATTGCAGAGTCTTTCTAAAAATCTTCTATTAAGAGGAAATTCATTTCATTTTATTTCTGTGTGTGCCTTGAGTGTATTGTTATGTGCATGTATGTGTATAGGTGTCCTCTGAAAACAAAGGAGGGCATTGATCCTTTGGTGTTACTTTTACAGGTGGTTGTGAACTACATTTTATGGGGGCTGTGTATCGAACTCAGCCACTTTGCAAGAGCAGTTCATAATTTTGTCTGCTGACACGTCTCTCCAGCTTCTGTTCTCAGGTGCTGCCAACTATCACATGAGACAGCTCTTGCCCAGGAAAGAGGCTAGGGAAATAAGCAGTCATCACTTTTAGTGATAACCTCACCTTTCAAACAATGCAAACATATCCTTTATAGTCCATACATTTTTTTCTTTACTCTAAGTAAAGAGTGATGAACTGTCCTTTATAATTAATGGCCAGTAGTTATCCAAGTGAGCTATGGAAAATAGGACCACACGTGATGTTCATAGTGGGCAAGTCTCCTACATTCATTCTTGAAGCAGCCTTAGAAGTCATAGTGTGACCACATGCAGTACATATGAGTGAGTAACTGAATAACTGTGTGACAACCCTTCACAGTTAGCTGTGTCACAAATATTTGTTGCTCTAGGACTTACACACTGATGGAATGACCATCAGCCAGCTCTAATTGACAGATATTTACTTGCACCAAATTAAGATAATGCTCATTGAAATATTATAGGATTTTTTCAGTAAGACATCACTGGGCTATTGTGCTGTGGAAACTGTCAAGTGGAGAGCTATATGTGACAGAATGTTCACTTTAATCTTTCCTCTTCTTTCTACTGAACATTCCACTTCTTGTGGCCAGTTTTACTCACCCCACATGTTTTGGAGAATGAAACAGAATGGACAAGGATGGTAAAGTGGGAATTACCAATACTGAGTCAGGTAAAAATATAACGGTATTTATTAGGGTAAAGCCTTACTTACAGAGCAATCTAGCCAGCTGGCAGGGCATGAGTAATTATAGCAAGCCAAAGATGAAACAGAAGGGCCTCCAATGTTCACACCCCTCACTCTTAAACCTCACAGGCATGGTCAGGCACACCTGTAGCCACCCCCTAGCAGGCACTGCTAAGGTGTCCCCTACAGGATGGAGATTTGGTGACAAGTTGTGTCTTCACCCTTATTATACAACAGAGCCCTGTGCAGAAAGAGTATTTCAACAACATTCTGAATATACAGTAAATGCCTTTGTATTTTCTATGTGAATGTCATTATGAATATTTCATGAGGGCTCTGAAGATGAGGAAAAATAAGTGTTTTGGCCAACACAGTGGAAACAGCCACAGTGAACAACTCCAAATGTGATTTGCTGCAAGATGCATAGAGTTGAGCTGGGGTGACCAATAAACAGCAAGTGACACAGAAAACAAATTATGAGTGAGACGAGCAAGATGTAGCTGAGATTTCAATTGTTGGCCTTCACAATTGTTGTTTCATGGTGCTGTTTATGCAGATAAGCACAAGGCAATTACAGCCAGACACATCCGCAAGAGATCTTGATAGCTCAGAAAGATCACAGATTTGTCGGTGCAATGGCTCTGTATTGGCATGCTGGTCCTTTGGACACTTAATGCATTGATGTATATCAGATAGAGAAAGGAATGTATGATTAGTGAAGCTTCATCATTTTGTTGGCATTACTTGATATTTAATTTTGTTGAAGAAGCATTGTAATATCTGTATTTGTTGCTGAGGATGTACTTCAATGACTCTGTCATTTGGGCAAAGTAGCAGCCTAAGGAATGGGAATATATTTTTTGCCAACCACAAATATTATAGAGGAATAATATAGAAAATCTATGATGAGCAATGAGACTAAGTATCAAAAACAAAATAATGCAACTTTAAAAATTCTGTTCAGATATAAACAGAGAATTTTCAAAAGAGGAAACACAAATTTATGAGACACACTTAAAGAGATGTTCTTTTTCTTTATCTTACTGTATTTTGTTTTGTCACATTTGATGGTTTTCTCTTAGAGTTCTGCTGCATTTGGAAGGTGAATGGAGAAAGTGTTGGTAGGGAGGCTGAAAGAGTGAAGACATCACATTGTGTTTAGTGTCAGGACTCAACTATGGTAAAAGTCACACATTCACTCAGAATCAAAAGAAGGACTGCATTTATTTCAAATCTTATTAAATATCAGATAAAGAAATGAGTATCTGTTCTGAACTAATGTACAAAACCAGGTCATATAAGTGGTTGAGTCTAAGATTATAGGAGACAATGTACAGAAAAGTATTCTAAGATACTTCTAGGCATCATAATTACAAGAACCAGTGAGAGTCACTAGCTAATAATTATAGCAGATCTTAATAGGTAGATCTGTATCAAACCTTCAGGTGTTAGTTTCAATTTAGGAAATGTTAGTTCAGGAAGATGCTTTTTCCTTTAATTTTTTAAGAGAATTTCTCTCTGGTCTTATCAAAATTATGTAACACTTGGGGATAAATATGCATCCCAGCAAGCCAGCACTGGAAGCCAAGATGGAGAAGACCTCCACAGCCACCATGAATTTGCCCTTGGTGCTATGATAGACAGGGAGAAAGGCTACCCAGACAGTGCAGAACAAGAGCATGCTGAATGTCAGCAACTTTGCCTCATTGAATGTGTCAGGTAGATTCCTGGCCAAGAAAGCCACAATGAAGGTCCCTAAGGCAAGAGTGCCATGGTATCCCAAGACAATGTAGAAAGCAGTAACTGAGCCCTTGTCACACATAATGATGATGTGACCATGCTCAGAGTGAGCATCAGTATTAATAGAGGGAGGTGAAATCCCAAGCCAGATTGCACAGAGAATAGTTTGGATGATTGTACAGCTGGCAATGATGTACTTGGGTGCTCCTGAAACCAGGTAGTACCTCATCCTTCTTCCAGGGTTTGTGATTTTGAAAGCCAGAACCACAGTAACTGTTTTGGCCAAAACAGTGGAAACCGCCACAGTAAATGCCACTCCAAAAACGATTTGCTGCAGAATGCATGAGGCTGAGTTGGGATGGCCAATATACAACAAGGGACACAAGAAGCAGACGACGAGTGAGATGAGCAAGGTGTAACTCAGATTCCGGTTATTGGCCTTCACAATTGGAGTGTCTTGGTGTATAACAAAAACCCCAAGAATCACAAATGTGAATGCAGAGAGGCATGTGGCCATTAAGACCAGAGCCATCCCCAAGGTGTCTCCATAGTTCAGAAAGATCACAACTTTGTCAATGCAATGGTTCTGCTCAGAATTGGCATACTGCTCCTCTGGACAGGACGTACACTGATCCACATCTGATGAAGTCATGAAAATATAATTAGTGTAGGTTCAGCAGCTTTATTGACAGGAAGTTACAATTAAGTGTGTTGAAGAAGCATTCCAATGTCTGAATTTGTTGCTGGGCATGCAGGTGAAAGTCACCGCTGTATAGCAATGTCTCCCTTTCACAATACTACTTCATTATCACTATGTGAAGTGAATCCAAACAATCATTATGTTATATATTTCACAGTGTATTAGTGGTGCTACTAGTCATTTTGTAAGGGAAACACAGATATTTGCAGTACATTTTGGCTGCTAAGATAAAGTGACTTAAATTAGTTCACTGACATAAGCCGAATATATAAACTGTATAAGACTGTCTCTTAAAGTCTGAGATCCAATGGATGCATTTCCTCTTGAGGCTTTTCTGTCTGTTTTGTGAATGCTATACATATGATATATAGAGACTTTGCATGGGTCAAGAACTGTGATATATTTTCTAGTTTGAATTCATCAGTTCATACACGACGACATAGAATCAACACTAAACAGAATGAGTAGAGTCCCTTGGAGTCAGCAAACATCACCCAAAGGTCAAGTTCTCAACACAAAGGAGATTTATTTTCTCAGAGAACAGTGCTCAGGCAATAAGAGACAAAATCAAAAGATAGAAGATGGGGAATGAAAAGGAACAAGGGAGTGAAGAAAAGGGTATTTTTCCCATTATAATAAAGAAATTCCTCTTTATAGAGAGGAGACAGGTGTGCCCTTTAGGAAAATGGCAGATTATAAACCTAAAAGTGGAAACCCAGATTAGGCAGAAGTGTTTAATATTGATTGGACAGGTTAATTAGGACAGCCACAAGGCGATTTTTAATAGCTGGACTTCAGTCCATTGATAGCTAGACCTTGAAAATCAGGCTTAGTAGGAGGAAGTGTCTGAATAAGGAAATAGACCAAGGTAGCTATCACTACTAATGTAATTCTCCCAGTTAAGGTTCTTTTGCTGTGAAAAGAAATGATGACCATGGTGAGTCTGACAAAGTAAACATTTAATTGTGTGTCTTATAGTTTAGAGGTTCAATCCATTATCATCTTTTTGGGACATGGTGACCTGGTAATAGAGATGGAGCTTAGAACTCTACATTTTTATTCCATAGATATCATGATGTAAAATGACACACTGGGTATGCCTGTAGACCTCACACTCTGCTTCAAAAGTGACACACTTACTCAAACAAGAACATACCTAAACCGACAAGGCCACACCTCCAAATAATACCACTACCCATGAATTTATCATAGCAAATTATGTTTAAATTATCATAGTAATATAATAGTTTTAAAAACACAAAGGGGATGTAGTAAAAGGGCATAGCTTGCTAGAGACATGCTTGTCATGTTCAGTCAGTCTAGAGTAACTTGAGAATCATTAAGTTGCTTGTATTTGTATATTTAAAGGTTATGTGCATGAAAAGTAACAGAAGATCTCATGAATATGAGAGTGATTGAAAGTATGGAAGAAGTAGGAGGGAGAAAATGAGACAAGATTGTTAGATACTCTAATTTTCATGTTTGAAAACATAAAAGAATATTTATATAAGTTAAATGAATATAGCTTTAGTTATGCGCTCCTCTGGAAGTAGGGGTGTTGTCTTCCTGAGTCTTCTTCATAAGATTCAGTAAACCTATCGGTGACAGTAAAAAATCATGTATACCTGTAGCATTAAAAAGAACTATATCTTGATTCTATCAACTTTGTGTAAAGGTAAGCACTTTCTCTTTCCTTAACTTCCATCTATGTGAGACCAGAAATGCCTGAGCATACTCAGTTATGAATTAGATATGATACAGCACCATGCACCTAATAACACAAGAACACTTAAGCACTAGTTATAACACAGAATATTGGTTTGTATGAACCTTTATAAGTTGCAATCTCCACCCTGGCCAGTTTAGAAAATGTGATTGCAATTACACCGAATCAATGGAAAATTGGAGAAAATCATGTTGTGCTTTCAGATTTTAAGTTTTTTTTTATCTGGAACAATGCATTTATGCACACATGTAATTAGATGATTTGTTTAAGGGACTGGAAATTTAGCTCAGTTATAAAGGGAATGTAATGATTATGCAGAAGACCTAAGCTCAGGACCCATGTCAGCTGTCTCACGACTGGCTACAACTCTAACTAAAGAGGCATTGCTTGCCTCTCCCATGCACCTGCAATTCTTATACACAACCACCCATCTCACATGGGTACACATAATTAATTTAAGAATAGAATATTTTGTTTCATTACTCATTGTAAAATCACTTTACTTTTTTATGTTTTACCTCTGAAACCATTTCAATTAGACTTTATTTAATTACTTTGCTGTATTTCTTAGGTGTGAGTACATGAATGTCAGATGACCACTTCTACAAGTTTGCTACCTCTCTACTATATGGGTCCTGGTAGTGAACTCATCATCATGTTAAGTAGAAAGGTATTTCATTGCTATCTCTGGAAACTGAGAATCTTCTGTAAGGCAAAGGACACAGTCAGCAATACAAAACAACAGCCCACAGACTGGGAAAAGATATTCACCAACCCCACATCTGACAGAGGGCTGATCTCCAAAATATACAATCTAGTCTCCAAACAATCCAATTAAAAAGTGGGGTACAGAACTAAATAGACAATTCTCAATAGAGGAATATAAAATGCCTGAAAGACACATAAGAAAGTGTTCAACATCCTTAGGCATCAGGGAAATGCAAATCAATACAACTCTGAGATACCATCTTACTCCTGTTAGAATGGCTAAAATCAAAAACACAAATAACAGTTTATGCTGGAGAGGATGTGGAGAAAGAGGAACACTCCTCCACTGCTGGTGGGAGTTGTACACAAGTTGGCACTTGTACAGCCACTTTGGAAATCAGTATGGCAACTCCTCAAGAAAATGGGAATCAGTCTACCACAAGATCCAGCAATTCCACTCCTAGGCATATACCCAAAAGGAGCACATTCATACAACAAGGACATCTGTTCAACGATGTTCATAGCAGCACTATCTGTAATAGCCAGAACCTGGAAACAACCTAGATGCCCCTCTACCAAAGAATGGATAAAGAAAATGTGGTACATTTACACATTGGAGTACTACTCAGAGGAAAAACAATGGAATCTTGAAATTTGCAGGAAAATGGATGGAACTAGGAAAAAACATTCTGAGTGAGGTAACCCAGTCACAAAATGACAAACATGATATGTACTCACTCATATGTGGAGTTTAGACATAGAGTAAGGGATTACCAGCCTACAATACACACTGCCAGAGAAACTAGCAAACAAGGAGGGCCCTAAAAGAGACAAACATTGTTCCCTGGAGAGGGGAAAGGGTCCGGATCCCCTGAGCAAATTGGGAGCACAGGAAGAGGAGTGAAGGAGCTACAGCCCTAAAAGAGGCAAACATTGTTCCCTGGAGAGGGGAAAAGGTCAGGATCCCCTGAGCAAATTGGGAGCACAGGAAGAGGAGTGAAGGAGCTACAAGAATGAGAAGGGAAGAAGAGGAGGGATGCAGAGGTCATGAGGGAGCAGAAAGGTTGAGTCAGGTGTAGATTAGAAGAAAGGGTATGTGATAGGTAGGGTTTTAATTGGGGGGGTGGTAGGGGAGGAGGGGAGGGAGAAGGGAACTGGGATTGTCATGTAAATCAATCTTGTTTCTAATTCAAATAAAAATGATAAAAAAGAAAAAAGAAAAAGTAAAATATACCATGAATTTTCAATGAGTCAAAGATTATGTCACAGTATAAGCTGCTATTTAAAGGCATATTTTATTGATTATATTCCAATAAAACTAACTTAGGGAAGTGATATATTTGCTTTGTACAATGAACTTATGACCCCTTGAAGATCCTCATGTGGTTTAAAGAGTATGATTGATCTGAAGGACCTAACTTATTAACAAACACTCACTTGTCTCATTAGAAACTTCATTTTCTGGGCAGGGATTGCAATCAAAACAGCAGTCTGACATTCCCTCCTGCCAGAATTTTCTGAATCCAGGACCACAATCAGAACTGCACACAGAGGGCAGCATCTGAGGAAAATTAGACACATATTAATATAAGGAGTGGTAAGAATTCTCTATATCACTACGTTATATTAGCATGCTTAAATATCAATACATTTATTTATATACACCAAATGCGTGATCACATTTCACTTAGTATGCTATATAATGCCAATTACATGAATGTGTGGAAACAAATTAAGATAAATTTGAGTAACTTCACAATGGTAGATATTTAGAAAGAACAGCAGATTGTGTGCTGTGGGAAGATAATAGGGAGCTTGCAAATTGGTTTATCTAGTTATTTTTTGTCAACTTGATGCAATATAAATAAAATCTTAGAGGGAACCTTAAGTAAAAAATTCTGTTTATTGGATTATCCAGTTATCTTATCTGTAAAAAATTGTATTAATGGTCAATTGATGTTAAAGGGATGAGCCCACTCTGGGCATTGCTTCCATATGCAGGATTTTATGAAAATATCAAGAAGAACAAGTCAGAAAGCAGTGTTCATTCATGGTTTATGCATTAGTTGTAGTCTCCAGATTCTTACCTTGTCTTCCAATGAATGTACCCCGTGAACTTAATCAACTCATTCTACTCACTTTAATTTTCTTCCATGTTTAATCACAGGATTAGTGTAGCAAGTTCAGATTAGTGGACATATGAAAAAGGGGAAATAACTCCTCAAATCTCACATCGCACACTTGACTCCCATAAAATAGTCCTGCAAATAACGACTGCGTGCAAAGAAAAAACAAACTAAATAGACAGAGCCTGGTGCATTGGTGGTGATAAAGTGATGAGCTGATATATATTGAGTTGGAAGGTGGGGTGCTCCCTGAGGTGAAAGTAATTTCAAAGGATTCACATGTTGATATTGTGGAAACCTGAAGAAAAGTTAGATTACTTACAGTTAATTAAAGGACTTCTTAAAGTTTAAGGTAAAACTCATTGTGTAATCAAAAACCAGGTGATAGGAAGCTATATGCTGCTTCAGAAAGCTTCTGATTGTTCAATGCTCACATTGTATCTTTTGTTCATTACTGCATTCTGTTATGAAACTGCAGTGTGTCCTAATTTTTGGATCTTTCATATTTTACACCATATATCATAGAAAAAATTTCAATGTTATTTTGTTGGAAAAAAAATTAACTAATAAAAATGAAAAGCCAATTATGTCAAAATGTGTTCCTACTATTTTGTCAGGATTTTGTTTTAGGTTTTAACTCTGAATGAATGCAGAACTTCATTAAAAAGCCACTTCTGAAAATATGTGCATGTTTATGTAGTCCTTTCCTTAATTCTATTTATATTCCACATTTACTAAACTGATCTGCTCAATATCTAAATTTCTCTATTATGTACCAATTTCTCAAAATTCTTTGCCCCATGGAAACAATCTCTTCATATTTTTAAATAATGTTTGTTTCTGGAAACAAAACTTATTGTTGGTTTTGCAAACCAGTTTGGATGGTTTGTATTTTGAGTACAAAATGTGATGATTAAAGCTGGAAGGTTATTGGGAATTATTTGCTATTTCTTGTCTGTTGTTATTGCAATATTTGATACTTTTCTAGCAGTTGTTTTATTTCTTTGGCTCAAGTGGTGTTTTTGCATTCCTTGACCACTTGTATTTATCTAAATTTTCAGCCTGTCTGAGTTTTTCCAGTGTCTTCCATAGTACATTCAGTGTGATTATGAATTCGTGTAATTTATGTTTATCACTGAATTTTTTCTATAGCATTTTGGAAAGTAACAGAGTATATAATAGGGAAGGCCAAGAATCCAGAAATTCCTCAGTCTATGAGGTTGAATATCTCAGCTGACCTTTCTTATACACTGGAATCCCCAAAAAAGTAGGTTGTAATGCAAGTGAAGAATGGACTTGCTAGCTAGGTGAAAGCAAGCAAAGAGCAAAAGCTACCTTTCTATAGGTTTTCACATAGTCTTCCAGCAGAGAGTGTAACCCACAATAGAGGTGTGTTTTCCAAGATCAAATAATCATATTAAAGTCGTGTCTTCCAACTTATGATCCAGGTAAATGATGTGTCTTTCCCCACTTAAAAGATCTGAATGAAAGGCATTTATTCCTTTTGATATATATATATATATATATTGCAGAGGCAAGGTTTCTCTTTGTAGACCATGCTCCATGCTGCCCTGGAATTTGCTTTGTAGAACATGTTAGCCCCAAACCCAGAGATTTTCGTTCCTCTGCCTCCAGAGTGCTGGGATTACAGCATGTGACACAACCACCCAAAACAAGGCATGCCTTCCTATCACAAAGATATGGATCACAGTGGATCCTTCTGCTTTAAATAAATCAAAAATCTCTCACAAGTGTTCCCTCTGTTTGGGGGTTTTTGCAATTGCCTTTTCTAGATAACTTGATACACAAGAAGAGCCCCAGTAATCACCATTCATTATAAAGTATAGCTTTGTTAGGTATAGTAACTAAGGATGGTAATTTTGAATCTAACTGCTTGAATTGCATAACTGATCTCTATCCATTTAAGAGAGTTCATGAAGGAATCAGCTGTTATCCAGAAGGACTTTTATATAAAATATGGTTCTCTTTGGAAGCCTTTAATATCCTCATTTTATACTGTCTATTTCAAACTTTATGAAAAATGTTCCAGGGGAAGTTTCTTTTCTGCTATTATGAATATGGTATTTGAATGCTTCCTGTCTCTAGATGGCCACGTGTCCCACTGTGTTTTGGAAAATTACTTGTATTCTATTGGATATACTTTTGATGCCTGTGGTGACTCTTCTACTCTTGTGCCAAAGGTTTGTCAATTTAATCCTTTAATCGCATCCGCTTAAGCTCATATATCTTTGGTCTTTTTCATAGTTTCAGGGTTTTTTTAATTCTTCTGCCATCTCTTCAAGTCTTGCTACTCTGTCTTCAATTTGAATTATTTTTTAGCAAATATTTTCACTGATAGTTTAATTGTATTTATGTCTTCTTTACATATTTTAGTTTGAATTCTTCAGTATTTTTTTCCTTTTTGGTATATTTCTGTCATATATTCATTCAGACCTAGAGGTGACTTGTTTCCTGTTGGATCTTTAGGGTCAACTATGGTTGTTTTTTTTTTTTTTTAGTATGTCATTGAGCATGCATCATTTAAGAGTATGACTCTAATATTTGTATTTGGGTTGCTTCGATGTCTTCAAATTTTTGTTCATTTATTTATCTATTTAAATTAGCATACCTAGGAGTAGAGCACTGGTTGCGTTATTCTTGAACTTTGGTATTCCTTCAGTGGATGTTTTGTAGTGCTCAAATGAGGCTTGATTAGAGCACACATGAAAATTAATTGTTGCACTTAGAAAGGATATGTATTTTGTTAGTTATACCAAATTACTTTACCCTGAGATTAACTCTTCTCATCACTCAGAGAAAAATATTAATTGTAGAATTCATACTATCTGAAATACCTGAGATATAACTTCAGATCTAGCATGGAGAGTTCTTGAAGGTAATTACTTGAATTTCAAGCCACTTTGTAGTTGGAGGTTTGAATTAGATACTTTAAAATGATATACATCATATTCATACATTTAATATACCTGAGACAATTAATGCAATATAACCTTTACAAAATTTCCAAAGCCAATTTCTTTACTTCTAATACCTCCACCTACACAGGTAAGGAAGAGAGACATATTTGTTTGTTTGAGTGAACTATGAAAGAATTAATGAGAAAAAGCAATGTTACTCTAGATAGCAAATTATTTTGCAGGATAAACTTTGGGGCTGTAGAAATGACTCAGCTGTTCCATAAAAATTGCTGCTCATGAACAGGGCTCAAGTTTGATTTCTAGAAGCGCCTGTGTGGCACAAACTGTCTCTAGTTCCCAGAGATCCTAATCATTGTTTAACATCTATATGCATCACACATTCCAATCCACATTCCAATATATATATATATTACCCACATAAATATATATTACTCACAAAATATATATTACCCACATAAAAGAAAAAATAAAGAAAAAACAAAGTTATACCTCATAGGGTATCTAAATGAGCCATGAAAGTTTTTACATTGATGTATGGGTAGAGATGTCAGTTTAGGACCTGTTGATAAAAAGGCTTAAATTAAATTATTTAATAAAATATATTATTTGCCCATGTTTAAATTACACTTCCATTACAATTAGCCTCAGTCTTTTAGAATGTGTGTCAGAGGTTCAGCAGAAAGGAGGAAAATCACTGTGTAGATATCATAATTTTCCCAATAGAATATTGCTTACTTTACTAGAAATAATATTAAACCAGGAGCAACTAGCTTCGGATTAATACTAAAAAACAGAACCAAGTACTGGTTTGATGAAAATTCAATGTATGCATGTCTGAAATTGTGAAATAATTAATAAAATGTAAAAAAGGTGAAAAAAAACTTGGACAGTAGAGAATAGTTCCTAATGTGGCAATCTGTTTTATTTCACTGAGTTACAGGGAAGCACAAATGGACCCATTTGACAGTGTTACTACTGTCTAATGGACATCAGTACCATTAAGTCAGACCCACCTGTCTGTTTCCTGTGGCCCACTCTAAGACGTCTTCATATAAATGGAGCTGTTGACCATGCAGAAAATATGGGCTAAATTTTCCTATCTTGACCTTAAATCCAAGACCCTGTGGAAAATTCAAAATCTGGAATATGTTATACTCTGCCTCCAGGTTTTCTTTCTTGTTCATATTCACTCTGTCCCCAGAAGGATTAGTGAATTGGGTCTTCCTAAGAATGGAATGCATCTGAAAGACAGGCAGCATTCTTTACTATCTGTTCCCATCTTTTAAGTCAGAAAACATATTCTAATTTTATTTTAAAATTAACTGTATTGAAGGAGCATGGGCAAGAAATCTCAATGACAGCAAGTGTGTAAATAAAATTATCATAATGTTACTAGATATTTAGTTTTTTTCACAGGGAACTATCAAACACAATCATAGACAACACACATAAATATGATATATGCTCACTAAGAGAGAGAGTGAGAGAGACTTATATCGTTATAGAGATACATACATAATATCGCCACATTATATTTACACACACATATACATGCAAACCAAGATACAGCATGAACACACAGACACATACAGACAGGATATTGCACCTAAACAGACACACAGAAACACAAACTTCAAAACACACACAGAGGAGCCCACATACTCACTCACAAATTCATAGGCAAGTACACACTGAGAGACATGCACAGATAAAAATACCCACTGAAGGAGACATTGACACAGACCTTTTTTTTCTCAAATCCAAAGACAAACAGACACAAATATGCAAACACACAATACAACAGAAAACCATATATAGATATGTGAAAGCATATCAACAAAACCCACAAATCACTCACATCAACACATGTAGATACATACACTGGCAAATACACATAAGAAGATACACGATGAAATATGCAAATGTACAGAAAAACATCGATGCAAATTTATGTCTATATCCAAATACAGATAAACACACAGAGAAACACAGATGTACATGTGTGAAAGCAAATGCACAGACACATACAAAAAACACACACACGTGCACATGAAAATATGCACAGGAAGATATACATAGAAACATTCACAATACAGTAAGAAAGACATTTACATAAAACAAATTTATGATCACTTCTACAGACCAACACACAGATATGCAGATAGACATGAACACATAGATACAGTTAAACATACAAACACATAGCCATTCACAGGGAATACAGATTTACACACATGGATACTCATATATATATATATATAGTAAGCTAAATCACGGCATTTTTCCTGTGGATTTACTCTCTGAGAGCCCAGTGTGTTTTCCAATGGGTGTTTCATCAGTTCAGAACACTATTAAAAACTGTCCGCTACACTGATTATATATTTAAAAAAATGATGAACAAAAGCTCATCCTCTTATTATGGAAAAGATTAAGGAGGCGGTTTTGATATGTTTAAAATTAGAACAGTACTTCGATGTTCAGGTTCTCTGTAACAAAATCATTGGTATCCTTTGATAACCCTCATCTTCCACTAAACTGCCCTTTGTATTACCAGATTATACCAACCTCTAGATTTAAATTCTCACAATGAAAATATTCAGAAATATTTATAATTGGAGAATTTCTCCTAACCCATAAGATTGGGGCATTAAAGAGACACTTTAATGAACATGATATTGATGACACTAAAAATCATTACATAGAAGAAACACTACCTTTGAGCAGTTAAAAATGTGTACTTTCCAATTGTCCATTGTCTGAAGAAGTAACTCATGGAAGGCATGGGCCACAGCATACACAGCGTTGTATATGCCATAACTCTCATCACCAAAGGCCATGTCAACAGTTTCTATCATTAGAGCTTCCAATGAGGCATTGGATGAGCAGTTTTTCAGTGTCTTACACATAGAAGTTGAGGCTTCACAGTTAAATTTCATCCACTCCAGCTTAGCCAGGTATTCATTTGAATATTTGACAGGGTTCAATGTCTGAACAAAAGTTTTAAAACCAGAAATCTCAGCATGGTGGTGTGCAAAAGCAATAGTCCCATGTTGTAAGCCAAGTGTGAAGTCTTTCTTATTTGTAGTGGCATCCCACTGTGAGGTGGTGACCCATATTCTCTGTATACCCTGAGATTCCCACATTCTAAAGCTCACAGCTAGAGTACTGTCTGTGTCACCATAAATGATAACAACATTTGTGGATGAGGTCACTATTTCTTTATAATACACTTCAGCTCTTGATATGTATAAATGCAATTCGACTGGGATCATGTTCACAAAGGCAAAGCAAAGTATACTTTTTTCCATCTCTCTTCTTAAATAAGAGAGAAATTGTATGCCCTCATCATTGTCTGAGATGGCCAGCCCAACCCAATTCCAGTTGAAGTGAAGTATGAGGGAGACCATTGCCAGAGCCAGAGATGTGTCTTTTGGTGCCATCTGATACAGATATGGGAATTGTTCACTCTCACTCAGGATAGGATGGAAGGGTCCATAGGTAAGCAGAAGAACCTAGGATACATGGAGAGGCATGAGGTAGCTTGTATTACTAAGGACTTGTTAAGTACACGTTCCTGTACAAGTACTAAAGCAACCCCATACATGTTGCTTATTCCCTCATCTCTATTTCAAGAAAAATATGAGAGATAAGGAAGGCCCAGAAAGTCTCTGAATACTATCCTTGAACTACACAGTCTGACATAATTGTAAGGCTACTCCCCCCCCCACACACACTTCTTAGCATCTGGTAATGGCAGCAATGGAGACAGGATTTCTTGCCAACTCTTCCTACAATACCTCACCTTTTGAGAAGTTAAAAGGCCCATGGCTTGTGCAATTATTGCAGAAACTGCCCAGTTTGGTCCTGAAAGCATCACTGAACACACAGTCTCTTGAGTACAGACATAATTAGGGGCACGATCATACTTATACTTAGAAGATTGAGTCTCCTTGTATATTTCAAACACAGTCTTACAACCATCTGCATTAATTCCAAATGCTAAAGATATATTTGGTAAAATATCAGGGTTCTTGTTGACTTCATCAATTGCAAAAGAAAAGGCCAATGCATACCGATAGTTTTTTGTTGGTTTTCTGTAAAAAATTAAAGTGTTTAATAGGGGTAAATGTATATAGATAATCATTTGCTCTCAGTAGGAGTCAAAGGTAGTCCCAATCACTCCCACATATTGAAACAAGTATTCTGTGTTTTGCTGTTGACGTGACATAAGAAGATTGTAGCTTACAAAATCTTTAAAAGGCTTTGACCAAACAATAAACCTCATCATGTTTTCATCTCAAAAATTTTGAGCAACATGAAAAATGTTCATGACTTGTGAGACATCAAGTTTATGTTATTTTCTTATGGTATTAACAGAATTGGCTAAGTCAGTCATAAATGTCTGATGAATGCAGAATAGTCTGTGTAATAATTGGCTTTTGAACTTACAATTCTTTATAATCAATGGGCAATATAGTCAACATATTCCCCCTGTCTGTCTTCATTTTATTATTATTTTTTCTTTGTGGTTTAATTATGGCTGGCATAAACTCTTTAATTTTAATGATATCTTTTAAAATGAATTCAAATACCAGAAATGTATTTGGTAATGATGTATGTGTGTATACATCTCTGTGGTATGCACAGGATTAGTGCTCATTTTGACCATGAATGGGGAATGGAATCAATGGCTGCAAATGCACAAAAATGAACCTGCTTAGGTCTTTAGTGTAGATACTAAGGATATATAATATCCTCAGTATTGTTCACCTGCTTTATTTTTATGCCAACATGTGATATATGAACACTGAGTATATCTGACCAGTAAAATTTTGCTTATGTAAAATGTCTTATGCCCTCATTTCTAGTTATACTTGACACAACATAGAAACCTACTGAGATTTGTTTGTGCCAGTATTACATCTTTGTCAAATAAAATAATATAAAATGGAAAATGAATTAAAATATTTATGGAGTTTTGATATAATAGGTACCGTATCAGTTTGAAAAGAATAATACCCATTTGTTCTTATTTTTAAGGGGAGAATAATCACTTCTGTTTGTTTCTTATTAGTTCATTTCATCTGACCAATAAATATCACATATATGCCTTCATTTATAATAATTCACTCAGAGTTAAGTAAATCTGTTTCCCACTTAGAAATGGTACCACGGTGGTGTCTTTATGTATATAAAGGGTAATTTATCTAGAAATTTTAAAGTAAAAATAATTTAAAATACATTTAGTACCAGACAAGAAGAAGTGTTATTGAAAATTTCACTAACACAAAACAGGAAGTTGAGATTTGAACACGTGAAGCTGAAAAAGCAATTCATAAAATAAAAATACGCATAGTTCCTGAATTGGTAAAATATAATGATATAGTTAGTAAAATTACTGAAAGAAAAAGTATTAGAGATAAATGTGATTCAACTTAGACATAAGCAGAGTACACACATATTCTTAAATAATGGCAAAGATGAACTACTAGTTAACTATACTCTCCCTGTTCTCAAATGTTGCCAACTAACAAGTGCCACAGCTGTCACTCAGCAAGAAACAAGGGAAGTTAGCAGTCACCGCTATTAGTGATAGCCTCAATTTCAAAAACTTCAAACATGATTTACAGTCCAGACATTCTTTCTTTACTATACAGAGTGAATAAATGTACTTCAAAGTTAAAGTCTGTCATTATACATTTATGTAAGTAAAGTGTGGAGAAACAGGAACACACGTGACATTCACAGCCCAGGTCTTTTTCCTTCATTCTCGCTGTAATTTTAGAAATCATAGTATGACCACATGGAGAGAATTTAATAACCAAACACTTATGTGAAAATGCTCTGTAGCTCTGTGTGCCAGAAATATTAATTAATGTCCTAGCACATGCATTGCAACCCACACATTGTTGAAAGAACTGTCAGCTGACTCTACTTGGACTGATTATGATGGCATTCATTGAAATCAAATGAGGTTTCTTTAATAAGTCATTATCTGTTTTTGTGCTGCAGAAACTGAAGATGCAGGCTAGATATGATGGGACAGGGTTTAGAGTCATTTCTTCACTCAGATTCCAGCTATCAACGAGGAGGATAACTTGGAGAAAAATGAATACTCCCTGAACGAATTAAAATTAAAAACACAGCAGTGAGTCTCTAAAAGAATTCGGGGTTGTTTCTTAGTGTGTATGCTGGAGAACTGGTCAGAACTTTCAACTCATTGTCCTGATTCTCATCCTCCTGTTCCTTCAGGAAATAGTCATGAACACATTTATATAGAAAATACAAAGGCACTTACTGTAAATCCAAACGCTTGTTGAAAAAATCTATATCCATTATACCTTGCCAGAGCTGAAGGAAGAAAATATAACATGTAACCAAGTCTGCATCCTTGTCTTCACTCAGCTTCATCCTCCAAAAGCATCTAGGGTGCATGACACTGGTGACCAGTAGTGCAATGTTCAGAAGCAAATAGAGCAAACACAATTTCAACATTTTTTTTTCTTTTCTAAGCCTGAACAGTGTTGATTGTGACATGCCATGTAAGCCAACACATTCAATAGGCACCCAAGTATCCACATTCACTTTTATTTCTGTGTCCAGTGAATATATTACTTATGCATTCATTTTTGCAGGTGTTTCCTTACCCATTGAGAAAATTTTGGCACTCGCTCCCCTGGGGTTCTGCACCTGATGTTCACAGTTCATGATGAAATGATTGATAATTATATAGGAGAATAGTATAGTTATTTTCACGACATCACTCAGCTTTGTGGAAATTAAAGCCTTGGGAGGGTGCCATTTTGAGAAAATTTGGTCCCCTGACTGCCTCATCAATCTGTATATGTTAGTGCATTTGGAAATGATGTCAGTGGATTTTGTTAGATGATTCACAGTGATACATAAATTATTGCTTCAGGAGAACTCACAAAGTAATAATTCATGATTCCACAATGGTAATTTTATCACACAGTTCATGTTAGGGGAAAGATGCTTCATGTTTAGACCAGTTTAGTTGCATGCAGCATGCCCAGTGGGGCTTTTGCTACACCAGTGAGAGATAGAGAATATGTTACCAAAGCCTGTGATTCCATTGTCTTGAGAGTGAATAATCAGGCCAAATCTCAAAATTTTCTGACTCCCAATGTTCCAAAACAATGCAGCTCACCAAAGAGCCACTGTTCATTTATGTGTTATATGTTGTTTTTCAGTATTCAACAGGATCCTGAGAGAAAAAACAGACCCATGTTCCTCATTGCAAATACCACATAAGATTTGTCAGTCATCATCCTCCAACCAATTATTATTAATGAGAACATAAGGTGAATATTTGATTTCTAAAATAGTATCCCCCTTTCTGATCCTCAATTCCACAGGTCAATAGCATGGAGTGACCAATTTCTTCTGATTTGTGTATGATTTTCTACACTGGTTTGCTCATTTTATAATCCAGCAGTGGCTGCAATGAAATATCATTGAGTATCTTAAAAGCAAAGAGAGACTGGTTAGTGATCCTGTGTTAAATGTGTAAATTCTTCTTTATTTGTTTTTTGTGAGAGGGTTTCTCTGTATTGCTTTGGAGCTTGTCCTGGAACTGGCTCTCTAGACCAACCTGGGTTTGAACTCACCGAGATCCACCTGCCTCTGTCTCCCGAGTGCTGGGATCAATGGTGTGCGCCACCAACATCCAGACAGTGTAAATTCTTCTTAAACTATTTTCCTAGTCATCTATTGGGTTTGCATTCTTCAACCTGCATTGCCAGTGTGAATGTGCTTTGATGAGCGTGGGTGAAGAGCCACTTTGGGTGGATATGGACTGCAGGGGAATAGGAGTAATGTAGGGCAAGTCTTTCCTTTACATGGTGATGTGTGTCATTTAGTATTTGAGATGAGGGGAATAGGACTACGCTTCTCCTCTATATCTTAATGTACATTTAAAAATAAACATTTAAAAGTGCATGGCCCCTAGTCCTGTGATGAGCCTTCCTGGGGTCCTAAGGTGTGTATATAGAGGAATGAGACAAGAATAGTCATTCATGCCCTGGACTTGATAGGTGAACCAGTCTATTTGGTGTTCTGTAACTTCTTGTACTTTTTGAGCTTGGGAAAGTTTTATTCTATGATATTTTTGAATATGTTTTTGCACCTTTGAGCTGCGTTTCTTTGCCTTCTTCTATACCTGTTATTCTTATGCTTGGTATTTCATGGTGTCCCATATTTCCTGGATACTTTGTGTTAAGGATTTGTTTGATGTGAATTTTCTTGGGTCGATGAATCTATTTCCTCTAGTGTGTCTTTAGCACCTGAGATTCTCTCTTCCATCTCTTGTATACTGTTGGTTATGCTGGCCTCAAAGTTGTGGCAATCCTCCTGCATTTGCCTCCTGAATGCTGGGATTATGAGCCTGCACCATTATGTCTGGCTTGTTTTCTCATTGTTAAAGGAAGTCTAAACTGGCAGTTATTTGAAGTCTAGCAGAGGGAATGAGTTTGGTAAAAGGAGAGGTCTGCTGTGTCTTTACTGTCTCCCTCCCCCTCAAACAAAGTGGATTTTTCTGAGTAGCCCTATGGAGCCTGCTTGCGACTGTTCTATGTTTTTGTGATTTTATATATAACTTGTTCAAGAAGTAAAGTTCCCCACAGGCTTTCCAACCAACACAACACTGCTTTAAGGCAGCCTACCCTCCCCTTTGATGTGTAAACAATAATTAAACAATAGCTGCATGGAAGCATTCTGACTCATCAGCCTGGACAAGGGTACTTCCCTCTTTCTCTTTTAAGAGGTTCAGTGTAGCTAGGTTTATGTTGAGGTCTTTGATCCATTTGGATTTAGGATTTATGCATGGAGATAGATATGAACCTTTCTGCAAACTTCTGCATGTCAGCATTCAGTTATGGCAGCACCATTTATTGAAGATATTGTCTTTTTCCCATTGTATAATTTTAACTTCTTTGACGAAATCAGTAGTTCTTAGGTGTGTGACATGTCAGCATTCAGTTATGGCAGCACCATTTGTTGAAGATATTGTCTTTTTCCGATTGTATAATTTTAACTTCTTTGACGAAATCAGTAGTTCTTAGGTGTGTGGATTAATATCAGTGTCTTCAATTGGATTCTGTTTTTGTCCAATACCAAGCTGTTTTCATTACTATAGCTCTATAATAGAGCTCAAAGTCAGGCATGGTGATGCCTCCGGAAGTTCCTCTGTTGCACAGTATAGCTTTGGGTATTCTTTTTCCCATAAAAAGTTGAATATTATTCTTTCAAGATCTGGGAAGAATTTTGCTGGTACTTGTATAGGGATTGTATTGAATCTGTAGATTGCTTTTGATAAGATCAACATTTTTACTATGTTGATTGAACCTATCCAAGAACATAGGAGATCTTTCTATTTTCTGATATCTTCTTTAATTTCTTTCCTTAAAGACTAAAAATTCTTGTTATACATGTCTTTCTATTGTTTGGTTAGCCTTAACCAAGATATTTGTGATGTTTTGGCAATTGTAAAAGGTGATGTTTCTCTGATTTCTATCTATTTCTTATCGTCTGTATATATTAGGGCTACTAATTGTTTTGAGCTAGTCTTGTATTCTGCAACTTTGCTGAAGGAATTTTTCAGCTCCAGGAGTTCCCTGGTAGAGGATTTCTGGTCAACTATGTATGCTATCATATCAACTGCAATAGTGAAAATTTGAATGTGGGTGTCTTTGTACTTGGGGCATAGATGTTCAGGATTGACACTTCATCTTGATTTTTCACATGATGAATATGAAATAACCTTCTTCATCTCTTTTGATTAATTTTAGTTTGAAGTCTAATTTGTTAGATATTTGGATAGCTTGTTTCTTAGGTGCATGTGATTGGAAAATCTTTTCATAACCCTTTACTCTGAGGTAACATTTGTCTTTGAAGTTGAAGAATGTTTCTTGTATGGAGCAGAATGATGGATTCTGTCTTCCTATCGATTCTATGAGGTAATATTTGTCTTTAAAGTTGAAGGATGTTTCTTGTATGGAGCAGAATGATGGATTCTGTCTTCCTATCGATTCTTTTAGCCTGTGTCTTTTTGTAGGCAAGTTAAAATTATTGATATTGAGGGATATTAATGATCATTGATTGTGGATTATTGTTAGTTTGATATTTGTTTTGGTGGTTGTATTGTGTGTGTGTGTGTGTGTTTCCCTTTTTTGGCTTTTCTTTACGTGTGATTATCTATAACTATGTTCTGTCGGTGTGGTTAACTTCCTTGAGTCAGAGTTTTCCTTCCAGGACTTTATTTTGAACTCAATTTGTAGGCATGTATTGTTTAAATCTGCTTTTGTCATGGAATAGCTTATTTTCTCCTTCTATAGTGATTGAAAGCTTTAGTGGTTAGTAGTCTGGGTTGTTATCCATGGTATCTCAGTGTTTGTACAACATCTATCGAGGACCTTCTGGCTTTCATAGTTTCAATTGAGAAGTCATGTGTATATCTGATAGGTCTGCCTTTATATGTTACTTCACCCTTTTCCTTTGCTGCTCTTACTATTCTTTCAATATTCTGTATGTTTGGTGTTTTGTTAATTATGTGGTAAGGGGACTCTTTTTTTGTTCCACTCTATTTGGTGTTCTGTAACTTCTTGTATTTTCATACACATGTTCTTCTTTAGCTTGGGAAAGTTTTATTCTATGATTTTTTAAAATATGTTTCTGCACCGTTGAGCCGGGTTTCTTTGACTTCCTCAATACCTGTTATTCTTAAGCTTGGTCTTTCATGGTGTTGCATATTTCCTGGATAGTTTGTGTTAAGGATTTGTTTGAATTAAATTTTCTTTGGTCGATGAACCTATTTCATTTAGTGTATCTTCAGCACCTGAGATTCTCTCTCCCATCTCTTTTATACTGTTGGTATGCTTGCATCTGTAGTTCCTGATTGTTTATTTTCTTTTTCCAGAATTTCTTCAGTTTGTGTGGCCTTTATTGTGTCTATTTCAGTTTTCAAATCTTGAAGTGTTTGAATTATTTCCTTCACATGTTTGATTGTGTTTTATTGACTATCCTTTCTTTCTTTAAGTGATTTGGTTTCTTTTCTTTAATTTTTTGGTTTGACTGTTCCTCCATTTCAATTGTTTTTTTTCTTATATTTCTTTAATGGATTTTCTCATTTCCTCTTCAAGGGCCTCTATCATCTTCATAAAGTTACTATTAAGGACATTTTCTTCTGCTTCATTTTCATTGTCATGTTCAGGTCTTCCAAGTATAGAATCACTAGAATCTGGTGGTGTCATATTAGTCTTTCTATTTTTGAATGTTTCTTTATACTATCATCTTCCCCTCCTGTCTTCCAGTGGGTACAACATGATTGTGAAAATACATTCGAAACTTTTAGGTATGAAAATGGAAAACCAAGGTTAGGATGTAAGTCCCACAAGGCACTGAAAAATTTACAGCATAAAAATTACTAAATAAATCAATGAGTGTGTAGTGGGAATTCCCATGAACGTTTCTAGTGTGAG